CCACAGACACTAAGGTGAGAGGGAAAAGTGCTGGGACAGCTGACTCCAATTACCCAGAGCTATCACACATCACATCATGTCACACTCAGCAGTAAAAACCACAGGAAGAATTTCAAGAGAACTAAGGTTGTGTGCTATTCTACACACACACACACCAGGAACAACTAAGAGTTCATGTGGAAATCTGCAACACAGGGCAGCTTACTTTGGGACTTCTTTAATGTATCTGTCATATGCGAGGGTATTCTTGCCAAAATTGATCTGTTTTTGTCTTCTCCTCAGGACCACCTCATCCGTTTCCCTTTCAGCTGGATTGGCAGAGTTGCTTGAAACAGAACTTGAAAATAAAAATAAAAACTAAGTTGAAAAGAACCTTAATAGCTTTTTAAGAAGTCACAGAAGCAAATATTCTAGAACTGCCCTGTTTTCTTAATGATCAACTGTGACTAAACTCTTACCTCACTAGTTCACACAAATGAATGCTGTACTAATCAAATCTCAATCTCAAATAATCACACAAGTGGCTTTTGAGATAAAGCTTTTCAATGATACTCCCTCCTTCAGCTTTCCCTCATGCCTGATATGAAACAGCTTGTCTGGGTTTTCAAATCTGCTTTATATCATGAGAACTAGTCAGAGATCATCACATGGTTGTTGCTAAAACCAATGCAACAAGAAGCAGTAATAGTTCAATACCTACCTGGTCATTTTGTTATTTGATGCTCTCATTGCCTTGCCTTCTTCAGTTCTACCTTCCCAACTGGGGCAACTGGAAAGAGGCCTAGAATGTTCTGATGTTGTCGAGCTAGAAAATAAAGGGAATTCAACAGAAATATTTGCTGCTTGTAACACATTTAATCAACAGAAACATCAAAAATGGACAAAACCAGCTCCACAACAGTAAAACCATGGGCATATTCCTTCTCTATTTCAGCTCTTAGTCACCTTCAGCCTGCCCTCTTCTGTCATTTTATTGCCTCAAGAAGCAGATTTAGCTGATAGTCTAACTTTCTCTAAACGGTTTCACATCAACGGATGAAACTGCCATGAAAGCTGACAATGTCATTTTATCACACAACAAGGATTCCACTTTGAAATGGAACACGTCCACTCAGCAAAGAAAAACACAAAACCCTGCTGGCACATCCACTGAAGTCTCACACTCAGGAGTCCTCTGTAATGGACTACAGGGGAAAAAAATAGGTGCTCACTAAAAACTGCAGTACAGCTGAATATATTACATGGACTGTGAAGAGACAAAGATGGTCTGCCCACATTTACACATAAAGATGCAAAAGCAAAATGTAAGAATAACAGGAAATGACTTCATTGGGAATTTTATACTAACACTTAAGACTTCAGCAATAAAGGGCTTAAACTACTGCCTCAGTACATAGCCCTTCTCCCTTTCATTCTGAATATTTGCTAATACTGTGGCATGTATTTCAATGAGACAAACTGAGTGGTCTTCTTTAGACATGATGCATGCCTAAAGAACTCTGTGCTACTCTATGAGAAGAAAACACTCAACCTGAACATGTTTAAGCTTTTCTTGGAGTCCTAAAGAAGAGCTCAGCAAAGTGGAGACTTAAAAAAAAAATTTACACTTACTCCTTACCTCTCCATCAAGTGGTCTGAATGGCCACACTGATATTCCTCAAACACCAGGTAATCTGAATCATTGCAGCTTCTACGTTCCTGCTCTTGATGCCAGCAGTGTGGATGTTGCATAGAACTAGAAAACAAGAATTTTCATCTGAAATCAAGTCACTGGTAGTCACTGAACATGGCCTATAAAAATCAAAGATGGACAATTTGATTTGGCATACGGATATGTGATTCCTACCAACTTACACAGGCAACACATACTCAACAAAGGTACTAGTGCAATTGCTGAGGAAATATCTTTGATCAATGCAATTAAGACATCAAAATTTTCAAATGAACAACTAATATTTTGATAACACAAAATTTACTCTTTTTGCAAACAAAATGGTGGGGAACAAAACCTAATTGAGGACTCCCACCAGCGTTTATGGACTTGTGGGCATTTCCATCTTCTGTCAGCAGTGACATTTATTTACTGCCCCATCCAGTAGTAAATTCACAGACAAGGCAAGTCCAGAAACTACACTTCAACACAATGGCTAGGCAGGAGTAGGTCAAATGTTTGTGTGGAAACACTTGTACACAGGACATTCTTGACCAGAAGCAGCTGCTCCTCACAAGGAGGCTTGGGACAGGGAGCTGCCTCTAGTGCTCACAACACACTGGTGGGCCAGCCAGGGATTGCTTAAGGGTTGAGTTCTCTACATTCTCCTCCTCGGTTCTGGTGGCTTTGACATTTTAAATGACAGCTTACTAAACAAAACACAGCCATAGCATCTACCAACACCAGACCTGGCTTCTGGGCTAAGGAGGGCAGCTGCAGATGCA